GTTGAAATTGTTTGATTAATTTGACATAAGTTATGCTCTGTGGATGGCAGGCTGTAGTCTGATCTTTCCACATCAGACAATATTGTTTAAACCCTGTAAAAAATGGGGTTTTTTAAATTTTGAAGTAAAAATCATACTTAAGTGAATTATTATAAGGTATTCATATAAACGCGCAAATTAATCATAGTATTTTAGTTAGCAGTTATAGATTTATCTTTAAATATGGTTGTATCTGTATTTATTTAAATCCCTGAGTAATAATGCTTAGCTCTCTACATATATTATGAACTTGTAAGTTCAATTAGTCTTTTTCAAAGAAGCGATATAAAAATTAACATGAAGGCATGAAGTTTGTAGTTTAAAAGTATAGAGTCTTTAGTCTTAAAAGCAAAGTCATTAGTCTTTAGTTTCATAAGCATAAGTCTTTATTATTTCAAAGATACGATAAAAATTAAAAAGTATAAGTCTTTAGTTTTAAAAGCAAGTCATAAGTCTTTATTATCTTTAAGTCTTTTAGTCTAGTCTTTTGTCTTTATTGGTTTTTGTTATATATATATATATATATATATCTTTGTCGTTACAGTTATTACTTTGGAAAAGTATTTTGATCCTAAAAAAAAATTCACATGTGAACAATCATCTTTGCAAAAGGAAAGTGACTCTTCAAAGCTTGTTCATTTAGAATCACATGCTGATCTATTTTCAAAACCAAAGGAAATTGATTCTTCATCCAAAGACACTCCAATGAATTTGAATTGTCAAATCTTCATTTACATCCGAGTGAAAGACCTCTAGTTACAGATTATGATCCTAATTTTTGAGAGCTTGTTCATAGAGTATATTTGCAAAAGGATGCTTATCAACCTAGAGAACCTAATCTTCCATTTAAAGCATTTGGAAAAGAGAGACGAAAGTTCAATAGCAGTTGTGTGGGTCCCGAATATGTATGGCACAACCCAAGAGGGGGGTGAATTGAGTTTTCTAAAAAAAAAAAATTAGCTTTAAAAACAAACTCAGAATTCTACAGCAACGGAAAAGTAATGCATTTGTAAAAATAAGTTATTGATTAGAACTTCTTCACTTTCTGCTAAAATCAAGAACATCTCCAATTAGAACATTTCAATTTTCTATATTTATATTTCTTATTCTTATAGGAAAATTATGATATGCTCAACTTATATTCATGATAAATGAATTATTAAGTTTTTTTTTTTTAAAAAAAAACCAATGTGATGTCATTTCGAAAGGACACATTTTTTTTAAGGTTAGGTTTCATTTGTTTCTGAAAAATAACTTACTTTTAAAAAATGTTTTTTCCTTGAAAAATATTTTTCAAATGGCTTATTTTGCAGCAATAAGACATTTCTATATGCTTATCCATTCTTCCCCTTCTAACTAACCCTTCTAATTAAAGCCGGATCAAGTTTCTCCACATTTAACATTAGTAGTAAAAAATATAATTCTCTCTTCCACCACAAGCAGGACCAATCCCATCAATTGACATTCAAAAGACCCAGATAGAGTCAAACCTTTACTTACTTGTTTCTTCCCCTATTCCTTTCTTCTTTTTAGGAAATCGGGATTTTCGTCATTCTTCATCATCTTTCACTTTCTTTGGCTTTCTTTGACACAGTGACCAGTAAGATCAAGAGAACAATCAATATCCTCTATTACAATAATAGACTTACTGGTAGTTTCAATCAATAACTTCCTATGCTCACTGTTATCTTTAATGGTAGTTAATTCAATATCATAAACATCATAATTCAATAAATCAACCATAGCAGCAATCATAGTGGACTTTCCGGTTCCTGGTGGACCATAAAGAAGATAACCTCTTTTCCAAGCTTTCCCAATCATGGCATTAACTTGATCAGATCATTCTTTATCTGTTCTTTCATCTTTATACCCATGGCCAAACTGTCAAACTACGCAGGATGCTCAAACACGACATGGCTCCATTTAGCACCTCTCCATCCGTATCAATTCTTGCTTGGATTATTAGTATAAAGCTTTCTTTGCCGATTTCTAACTGCAATGGCCTTCCCTTCCTTGATAATATGATCTATGTAAGACTTAATAATGATATCTCTATATCGTCTATGGACAGTGAGTTTGAAAAACCTGCTTTCATCCAATTCCGGATAGAAAGTAAACTGCTTCGTTTTGGTATCATTTTTTATTGAAGTCCAACAAACTTTAATTCCATTAAAATCATCAGAGATTTGTTCATTGTGATCCATTGTAAGTAACACAGACTTCCCATCTTTGACTACATCAGCTTTAAGCCGCTTGGCGCGCGTTGATGAGTTGGTACTAAGGTAGTTTTGAATGGCGGCGTAGACGTCGCTGCGTCGAAGGTCTTCGCCGGTATATTCATCAAAGATGATATGAATATATGGGTAGAAGATGCTAATAATCTTTTGGCTATATGTATCAATATAGCTGCGAAGTTCATAAGGGAAGTATTGCTGAAACACGGCCCAAGCAAACATTAGGCCAGCAGTTGCTGAGCCTAACTGAGTAAATAGCTCTGTTATGATCATTTTTTTTGGGTCTTAAGGGCAGTAGTTTCTGTTTTGGAGTAGAAGTTGGTAGTGTGTTTAATGATTTTTAGATAGATAGGGATTCTGAAACACTTGTGTGGAGCTATTTATATAGGTTTAGAGCCCCAGCAATTAGCTGAGCCTAACTGAGACAAATAAGCTCTGTTACGTTATCATATTTTTGCGTGTTAAGTAGGGCAGTGTAGTTTCTTATTCTTGAGAAAGTAGATTCCCAAAGTTAGGGCGTAGCAAACATGTGTTTAATGATGTTTTAGGGAGATTAAGATAGGGATTCCCTCCGAAACACTTAGTGTGGGAAGACTATTAATATATAGGGAAAAATCCCCTATCGGGGATGAAGTGTGTAGGGATTCTGAAACACTTGTGTGGAGCTATTTATATAGGGAAAAAACTTGGGAATGAAGTGTGTTTGCTTGGTAAAGAAGGTAGGTAAACACTTGTTCATTTCTTGGAATTTTCCAAGAATGATTAAATAAATAATTTGTTGCTCTTCCACTTGTTTCAGAAAATAATTTATATTCGTAGTGATTATTTAGTAAAATTAATTGTCTTAGTGGCTGTTAGCGTCTTATTAAACATTAAAAGGAGTAATGTATCACAACTCATTATTTCAAACTCTAAACACTAGTATAAATGTTACACCGCTGAACACCGTAAATAATAGAGGTAATTATTAAAAGCTACATCACTAAAAAAAAAAAAAAACATTTTTTAGTGACCGACTTTATGCAGTCACTAATTAGCGACAGAGATGCGACCGCCAGCGATAGAAATTTCTCGTGAAACCTTTGGTAAACTACCACTAGCGACTGAAGTGACATCCGTGGCTCTATTTTGTGCCCAGAATTGGCACCAACCAGTGTTACAGAATAGTGATCGACGTATATTTTGTTGCTATATTTGGCGGGAATTATTAGCGACAGATTAGCAACGAGTGTGCAATTACTGCGATGACCAAAATTCCATTGTAATTAGAGACCGATTAATGATAATTTTTTTAATTAGTGACGGTGCTTTTTTGCCGCGTCAATTAAAATAGCGACTGATGATTGTTTTATTTTAGCGACTGATCTGGTCAGCCGCTAAAGTTTTAGAGAATGAGCGTGTGACTCAATGATTGTTTATTTAGCGAACTGATCTGGTTCTCCAGTACCGCCCATAAAAGTTTTAGAGCGGATATTAGTGAGTCAGACCACTTACCACGTCTACGGTGATAAGACTCAATTTCACAAATAATCTTTAAGCTCTGCTCCGTTCCTCTCAACTTGCTTTATCGTTTCTGTGGTGAGCCTGCTCTCTCCCTCTCAATGGCCTTAGTGTTCTTGGTCTCACTGTCACGTGTCTATCAGCAAAGGTTCGTTGAGCGTCCGATAGTGCTCTGGTTCCTGCTATTTTCTTAGGAGGGTTCTCACCACTATTTGCCCGCCGCTGTTAGCCTCTCTCCCTCTGTCTCACTCCGTCAGGCAAGTTCTGACTCCAGTCGACTGCTTTTCTGGTCTCACCCGCCGCCGCTGTTGGGCAGCACCGCACTACAAGTAAGTTCTTCTTTTTTTATTTTTTTATTTTTGTAAATATTTTTTTTTTGTATTTACAGTTGTAACATGATTTTTATTGTTTTTTTTTAATTTTTTTGCATTTATATTTTATGTCGATTATGATTGTTAATTGTTATTTTTTTATTGAAGATGGATTTTTTTGGTTATTTGTTTATTTTGTTGATTGTTGACAATTAGTGTTGGTTTGTAGTTTCATATATGTTATTTTTGTTGATTCTAGCTGGTTTCTAATTAATCTCAGTTTGTTATTTTTTAGTTTTTTGATTAGTTTATTATTTTTTAGTTAATTTCTTTGAATGTTAATTAGTTTGTCATTTGTTAGTTAATTATTTTGTCATTTGTTTTTTTGTTATTTGTCATTTGTTTGACTGTTTTAGATTAAAATACTTAATGGTTATTATGAGCAAATTTATTTATTTAATTAGGTTAGCTTAATTAGTTTGTTAATTAGGTTAGTTTTTTTAATTAATTGATTTGTCAATTTTGTTAATTATATAATTGGTGTATGAATCTATGCATATAATTGGTGTATGAATCTATGCATATGTTACTTTTTCGCATTATCTTAATTTGTTAATTACGTTAATTAGTTTGTTAAGTAGGTTATTTGTTAATTAGGTTAAAATAGTTAGTATTATCTTAATTCTTAAAATTCAAAACCTTACTCATAGTTACCATATTTTATAAACTCAAAACTTAAACATTTAGGGTTAGCCTTGAAACTTTTGTAATATTTGTGTCAATTATTATGTGGTATTGTAGATCACCTTGTTTTAGCCTTGAAACTTTTGTAATATTTGTGTCAATTATTATGTGGTATTGTAGATCACCTTGTTCGGGTTCAAATGGATACAGGCATAGATTCGAGGACTCTACATGAGGGGGATGAGATCGAGGTATTCGAGGACGAGGTGGTCGTGCCAAAGCACGTGACGCTTATACAGTCACACAACCTCCCTTGCCTCCACTACCTCCTATCCCTCCTTCTACTCAAGCACCTACTTCTAATGCTGCAGCACCATCTGCACTTGCTATAGCACCATCAGCATCAGCCCCACCACCCGGTAATATTCAATTCACTATTGTTCGTCTTTTGTATTTATATATATTAATATATTAACATTGACATTTTCTACTTCTACTCTTTTTCTGCAGTGGAGGGAGATGCTCGACCAAAGTTGATGACTTTGAAAGGATGGTAACTAACAACAAATAATTACTCTTATATTTTGCCTATTGTAATTATAACATAAACTTATGCTGCTAACTGAAAAATAATTCTATTTTTCATTATTCTAGTTGACAGCTTGTATCCATCATCTGATGCCTCCAAAGCCATTATGAGGATCTTCAAACTTCATTTGGAGAAAGATGGTTGGTGTTAGGGAGGTATACCAGCAGAGGCTAGACAGTTGTACTTGGAAGAGTTTATGGTAAATGTTCTTACTTCAATTTTAATTAAACTTAATGATTGTGAAATCTCATATAAAAATGTTTCTATTTCTACTTATTGCAGAAGGGGTTCACATGGGAATCAGATGCTATAGAGGCTCTGTTTAAGAAAGCTTAGGAGACACAATCAGCGGAGGGCTACTCAAACTTCCTGTACAAGATGTGGAGTACAGGAAAGAAGCAAAGGTGTATTTTTTACGAGGTTTGGACTAATTGGTAGTAGGCTTGGTCCTATCATGAATATGTGAGAAAACGAGAGATTATGTCCCATAATAGATTCAATGAAATGGGTGGTGAGTGAGCTGGTCTATCTTGACTCACTGGCGGTGCCATTTCAGCAGCTGAGATTACTGAGAAATTGGTAAGAAAAATCCACTTAGAGAATTTTATGTAGCTTTATTATTAAATGTATTTGAAAATGTTTCGCATTTTATGAAATGTATTACAGGCATTGAAGTTGAAGCGTCAACCTACCCCCATGAAGGTCTTCACATATACACATACGAAGGACGATGATGGGGTCACATTCATTGATAAGCATGTCGAGCTTGTTAAAGTAAGCTTCAAAATAATTCTTTACTTTTCCATCTAAATTTGAATATTTTTGTATTGTTCTTATGCTGCTATATACTATATTTATCAGGATAACTATATTACTAGAAAAGAGCGAGCTACTGCATCTCAGGCTTATACTAGTGAGAAGCCTACAAAATCGATGAATTTTAGCTTTATCTCGAGGCTACAGGAGGCGAGAAGAAGAGAAAAGTGTATGGTATTGGTTCACAATATGATATTTTTTACAGCCGCACACATGGAAATCAGTGAGTTGAGCCACACTAGCTAAGCCAAAGGCACGTACCGAGGAGATCTAGGATTTACGGGCTCAGCTTTAGAAGCAGCAACAATAAATATCACAGCTTGTATTGCAGCAGCAACAACAACTGATGGAGATGTATGCTCGAGACTGAGCTACAACACCGCCAGCTCTCTCTGCATCGACAGATCACTCTGATCCCCTGGCTTCTTTCACTCTGCCTACTTCTTAGAGTCCCATTACAGATTTTGCAAATCTGACCCCTTATGCTTCTTTTTTATTACATGTTTATTTTGTATATATTATGGTATAATTTGTAAGATTTTCTTTGCACATTAATATTATCTCAATGATAATTTAGTATTTTTTTTTCATTGATGTTATTGTTTGTGTGAATTACTTGAATCAGTATATATTGTTTTTTTTACAGGTGAAAAATTTTGATTGTCCAACATTTAAATTTTATTTTTTTATTTTAAAAAATAAATGGCGACCGATGAGCAATGGAACAACGAAAGATAATAATACTTTGAAAAGTGACTGGAGAAAAATATAGCGAACAATTGGCGACAGGTTTGAGACAGTTAGGCGACGGACTATCAAACATTTAAAAACAAACTACATCGATCGATTTGCGATAAAGTTAGGGACCAACATTAGCTACCGCATCATTTAGCGATCGAATAGTAACTACATTTTCGTTAATGGAAGGAAGTGATTCATCATTTAGCGACCGCTTTATCAAAATTTGCGACCGATTACTTGGTCGCTAATTAGCGATGAATTCCACATGCGATTGCTAACAGCTTAGCCACAAGATTTTGTGCAACTGATTCACTTGGTTGCAGTTTGGTCGCTATTTTTGTTTTAGAGACAGAAGGAAAAGGATTAGTGACAATTTGTCTGTCGCTAATCCGCATTTTTTTTTTTATTTTTGTTTTAGAGACAGAAGGAAAAGGATTAGTGACAATTTGTCTGTCGCTAATCCGCATTTTTTTTTTCTGTCGGCTAAATCCGCAATTTTTTTTTTTTTTTTTTGTCGGTGCATGTTGTTGCCGAACATGCTTAGAGAATATTTACAAATAAATTAGTTTTCTATTATTCGATTATAATATTAAAAATTAGTCAAAAAATTATTTAAGTTTTTAATTTATAAGACTGTAAAATATTTAGAATTATATAAATTTTAAAATTTGAAATTTTATTGTCAAATATAAAAATTATGAAGATAATAAACTTTGGTAATCACTGAATATTAGTGGTAGTGATGGTGGCTTATGATTTGTGGTGATTAATTAAATAATTGATGCAATAACTATTAAAGAAAAATAGATTAATAATACCAACAAGGTGTTGGTTGAAGTGGTTAACGCCCTTAATTCCCGTAAGGTTTGATCCCCGCTTACACCAAATACAGAAAACCTTGTATAATAAGTTTGTCAAAATCTCAAAAATATTTTTCTCCTTTAAAAAGTATTCTTTTTCTTTTGTAATAAATTTTTTTTGAAAATAATTTAATTTTCTCTTTAATCATAAAAATATTTTTTTTGATTTATTTTTGTGAGTATCATAAATATCAAAAGTTTAAAACCTTTTATCAGAAAATATTTTTTGATAATAAAAGGATACAATGTCGGGATTAGTTTGTAGTTTTCTTTTTTTTTTTTTCATTTGCCGTTTTGTATCTGCAAATCCTAAAAATAGTCTAATCATTACATCATTTATTTTGTAACGCCTCATTTTTCTGTGTCTGAAATAGTAAGTTTACCAGTGTGTGAATAGTACCACTAGTCCGGAAGTCAATATTATTTTGGTCCGAAAAATTACTATGTATGTTTAATATTTTCTTTAATATTTTTGGAGTATGTCTACATTATTTTTATGGGTAGAAAGTAAGTAATGAATATTTTTGGAGAATTTAGATAATTAGTGAATAGTTAATTATAGTGTTATATTAATTAAGGAACTTAATTATGGTGTTATATTAATTTAGGAAATTAGAGGCAATATTTTTAAGGATTAAATTTGAGATGGTGTTATATTAATTAAGGAAATTAGAAGAATTATTTTTAAGGATTAAATTTGAGACTTTTTATGGAGATAAATAATATTTTGAAGGACATTAATTGGAGAATAATTTTTAGCCATTAGATTGATTCAATCCTAGCCATCCAATTATGGTGAAAATACTAAACTACCCTTGTTGCTCAAATAATTGAGCAACACTTCTTCTTTTTCTTCTCCTCCTCCATTTCCAACGTGAACTTCCTCTCCCTTCTTCTTTTTGTTTTTCCTTCAATTTCTACATGGTAAACTCACCAAATTTACACCATTAAACTTGATAGAAAAGTAATCAATCTTTGAGATTAAAGCTTGAGAAATGATATTTGGTGAATAATTTCAAGTAATTTGGAGGACAAAGGGTGGAGAATTTCCTACCAAAGACAAGGGAAAACTAAGGCTTAAAAGAGTCTTATTTAAGCTTGTTAGAGCTTATGTTTAAGGTTAGTGTTCATAAACACTCTTATATTCTTATAGTATTTCTGTATGATTTTTATCCAATGTATATATATATATATATAATAAAAATTGGGAATTTTATATGAAATGATTTGATTATTGAACTTTGGTGGTGAAAATGTGTTCTTGGGAGATTTGTAAGCATGCCTATGTGTTGAATTTATGAGGAAAACATTTTCTTCTCTTCATCTTCCAAAAGTGGCAGAACCTATTGATGAAAAAGGCCTCAAGATTTCTTGTTATTCTTTGTTGGTTTATGCTTTTAAGATGATAAGATGATATTTGAATGAGTATTTAGTATAATGGTAGAGATCCCTACTTGTATATGAATTTAAGTAAGTTGAAAAAATTAGGAAAAAGTGTTTATTGGGTGTGATTAAGGACTGTTTTTCGATCCCTTTCATTTTCGCATTGGTTGTCTGAGTCCTTCATGAGTTTGTAAGCTCTAACTTCTTAGGCTTTCTAACCATCCTCTTGTTGAACCCATCCTCTTGGGTCCAATTTGGAGATATATAGCTCAACTTATGGCTGAAACACCCAAACTGAGACCACATGCAGCAATAGATTGAGTGCCCAGTTTGACCACCATAATGGCAATATTAGGTGCTGAGTTATTCATGAGAGTTGTTTCCCTGTGTCTTGAGATTTCCCAGGTTTTTGATTGGTTTAATTTGAGTGTCTGGTTAGGGAGGAATTTGATAAACAGTAGACTTTGGTTCTGCTGAATCCGGTCTGGCCTATTAGTCTGTGTTCCTATCTTATTTTGCCTATCTGACAGATTGATCTGGGTTATGGTTCCTTCATAACAATTGTATAACTGTGTCTTATCTTTCTAATGAAACTAATTTCATTCAATTTTTCATTCAATTTGGAGACATATAACTCAAGTTATGTTTTAAAAACACAGCAAAGGTCAAGGTTATTTTAATGCTTATTATATTAATGCTGGAAATTTTATCTGTCTTAAAATCATAGATTTTTTGGATAAAAGTGATGTATTAAATCATGTGTGATAAAGTTTTAGCATTTAATTGAGCAAAAATAAAACCATAAGTTTGAGAAGTGTTTGTGTGGATATGTTTAAATTAAAGAAGGTAATGGAAATTGATTTAGATAATGCATGACGAGGTTGTTGAAATGGATAATTTTGTGCATAAAGAGTTTATGTTAGCATGCTTGATTAGAGAAAGGCAAATTTCTGCATTAGTTTTTTATTAAGAGGTCAAACCACCTTAGATAATAATGCTTTCTTAATTATTTTAACAATATTTGAAATCTATGTGACTATTTGATAACTTTCAATATGTTTTTAGAAGTTAAAAAAAAAAAAAAAAAGAGTATTTAAGGTGTATTTGCTTGATTTGAATAAGAAAAATAATGATTTTATATGAAAGATTTCTTAATAATAAATTTCATCTGTGCATTTTCTCCACACAAAGTTTGAAAAAATAAAAGAATTTATGAGAATTTCCTATCTGAAGTAATTATGTTTAAGATGAAGTCTTTAATGAGTTACTTAATTCTAAAGTAAAAAGCTTACAAGTATGAATTCATACGATAAGAAATTTTCTGTGTTCAGTAATTATGTTTAAGTATGAAATTTTCCCAGTTACTACCATTTCTAAAGTAAGCTTACATTATGAATTTAAAGAAAGACTAAAGAATAAGACAAGTTTTATGATAAGTGTTATGAATAAGAATTAAAAACAAGGATTTTGGGGCTCTAAATATACTTAGTTGTGAATTGATTTTATTCTGTCTGATGAGCATGCTCGGCATTTGATGCTATTATGATAAGAAGCTATGATCATATGCTAGACACGTGGGTGTCTTCTGTTCTGTTAAGGCGAACGCGCTCTATATGTTCTGAAAAGGTTGGCGACCTAAGGTCATTCTGAATCTGTTCTGAAAACCTATCTGCTTCTCTTTCTCCTAAGTGTATGCGAGCCCTATGGAAAATATTTGTAAGATAATTAAACGAATGAGATCATATTATTTTGGTAAACCTTACCTTGGAAATTAAGGATTATGTTATCAAATGAATTGTCAAAGCATGATATTTCGGTACATGATATTAAAAATAAAGAGTATATGTATTGGTATAATAAATGTTGTTCAAGTAATGGAATTTACGATTTGAAAGAATTAACTTATATGTATAATTATAAGTTTTATTTGATATTTCTAAGTAAAGAACTAAAGTATTTATAGTGATAAATGTTTTAAGTAAAGGATTTATGCGTATAAAGAATTAAATTGAATTTATGTTGATTAAGTAAGATAGTTCATTTGATATTTTCTTTTTTGCTATAAATGTAAATGTATGTGAAATTTAATGATTTTATGATTTATAAATGATTTTACGAAAATTGTGTTTTAAAGTAAGTTTGCCATCGAACTTTGGTTAAGTATGTGGATTATGAGCAGCCACTGAGTTTTTATACTCAGCGCGTCGATTTTTATCACGCGTAGTTGAAGATGTGGTGCTACTTTTGAAGATTAGAAGAATCGTATCAAAGCAGGAAGTGACTAAAATTTGGTAGTAGTCGATTGAGATTTATGTACTTAAGAATTATGGCATGTATAATTATTACATTTTTGGGAGATTATGTTATTTGAATTATAACTTAACTATGTAATAATAAATTATTTTGGTGTATATATTTGGAGATGAGCATAAGATTTATTAAATGAGTGAATATGAAATATTTCAAGTCAGTTGATATGATTAGTTCATTAAGACTTGATATATATAATGAATGCAATTAATTGATGAATCTAAAATACTATTGAGGATTTA